CCTCTGTCATGGGCTGTGCCCTGGGGCAGCAGGCACACCAGCTCCAGTCCTCCTCAATTACTTACTAAGAAACATTCTGTATACATCTCCTTTCTTCCTGTTCACGTTGGCCCCCCTCTGCCCCACCCCACCAGAGACTCAGAAGAGAGCTAGAGACAAGCAGGCACAGCTTCCTGTTTGAACAACTGCAAGCACGTTAGGGATGGAGCGGCCCCTCACTGTAGTCTCGGGCTGCAATCCCCTGCTGCCCCGTCAGGGTGGCCGGCTTGTTACAGGTGCGCTTCACAGTGCATGCACACAGACCTGCTGGCTGAGTTTTGGTTAGGTAAAAAGTCTTACTGTGGCATTGTAAACATGTTGTTCTTCCTCCTTTCTCTCCCTCTCTTTCTGATTCCCCCACTCTTTATGTATGGGTACAGCCACACGTCCTGCAGATGTTTTTCCTGAGCTCTGGATGGCTCTTTTGTTTTCCGAACAGTGTCATTTAGTGAGCAGGAGTTTATTATTTTGGTAAAGTCCCGCTTACCCCGTTTTTTTCCTCCCACGCCAGTGCTTCTCAGTCCCCTCTGTCTCACGGGTGGTAACTTTCTCTTTAGGCATTGGATAGTTTTCGTTTTTACTCTTAGGTCTGTGCTCCATTTTGAATTAGTTCCTGGGTGTGGCTGGAGTAACAGTTGATGGCTGATACTCCTGAGTAGACATAAATATTCGGCAACATTCATTTCAAGGTAGACTTCCTTTCTGATGGTTTCTCTGAGTCTTGCCTGGCCTGTTACTTGGTGGCCAGTACACCATCCTGTGTCTCATGTACACTTATGCTGGTGCAGGGGCCAGAGACCTCACCCTTCCTAAGCCTGCACATCCCCTAGTCCTCGGTGGCCCCCATGCATCCTCAAAGAAGGAAGTCTCCATGGTAGGCTGGCACCAAGCCTCCTCCAACCAGGATGGCGTCATTCACCTGGAATTGCTGCGTGCATGGATCTTGGGGGATATCTACCAGGTAAGGTGGGGAGTGGGGAGCCAGCAAGGGCTTTTTCCCACCCAGACTACTTGGTAGATTGTTCTCATCTTTCTCTGCCTGAAGAATGACTTTGATCTGCCAGAGGGATGGGCTCTGGCTATAGGACCTGCCTGTGTGGTCAGCTGGGATGAGGATCAGCAGCTGGCCTAGGGTCCATATTCATAACCCTATCTATGTGAACTGAATCCACCACCACAACCCAGAGTGAAGGGTGTTGGTTCTAGTGACCCTAGGGGTCTCCTGGCTGCCCCTCTGGCAGGAGTCTTTCTGCCCAACTTCCTGTGGTTGCTGACCTTGGGCCTCCTGGTAGCCAAGTACTGGCTGTGCATCTGACCTCTGACCCTGGCCACATCCTGGAGTTGCTCAGGGCCTGATCAGTCCTGCCTTGCTCCAGCTCTCTCCTGCCTCCACTCTCCAAGGGCAAACAGGCCAAGAGGATGCAATTAACTGCCAAGGTCTCATCAGGAGGGTCTGCTGACCTCAGTGTTTCTCGTTCATACTTGCCCAAACCCCAGGGCCTATGGTGCCCTGAAAGATGCTCACCACCCAGGTAGAGGACAGACACCAGATAGGCGATCCTTCAAGATGGACAAGTGGGGTGGGGAGAGTGGGGGTGGGGGCGGGGGCGGGGGCGGCGGCCACGCTGCTCCCTCTGGTGGAGATGCGCGGAACTGAAGCCTCCCTACAGAGACTGGCTTCCCTGCTGAAATCACGGGTGCAGAACATTTGAAGAAGTCCGCAGATGTGGGATGTGTGAGCACAGCGAGGCTGTGAGATACAAAATCAACTCACAAGGATATCTTACTCCAGTGCTTGGAAAGTAATCTTGTAAGTCAGGACCACTGACTGTAGAACAAAAAATAAATAAATAAAAAGATCATACACTAGACATAAAGACAACTTATTGTGATGAATCCCTCCCTCTCTCCCTCCCTCCCTCTCTCCCTCCCTCTCTCCCTCTCTCCCTCCCTTCCTCCAGTGCTTGGAAAGTAATCTTGTAAGTCAGG